GTAAGCCTGCCTGCCCTCCCAAGGAGAACACCATGAAATAAATGGGGGATGGGGTAGGCAGAAGTGGCTGAGGTGATTGCTTCAGGACCAGGTTATGGGGGGAAGCATTGTGTTCTGTTCCCTTCCCTCGCTGCCCAAGTAGCTTTCCTCATGCATACCCACACCCCTGCTCGGTCTGCCAGCCCTGATAATCTCTGGTTTTTCACAGATACCCAGCCACAGCCCAGTACCAACATATTTGGACGCTACTGAGCCACCTGGAGGAACTGCTTGTGCAATGGATGTGGCCCCAACCTTTCCTCTTAATTCCCAATCCCCTTCCCAGGCTAGCACCAGTAGTGGTTGGGGCTCTTCCCTCAGGCTCCATTTTTAATGAATTTTTAGTATTTTTGTTAATGTGAGGCATTGAGCTGTTGGGTTTTGTATATTATTTATATAGATACCCCAGAGCTGTTGCACCCAATACACAGAGCTTCTTTGCAAAGGGAGTGTGTGAGTTTTGCATGTCCGGGAAAGGCGGTCTCTCAGGAGAGTGCTGGGGGCTAGATCAACAAGTCGGAGCCTTCGTTCTATTCAGATTGTCTCCCCTGTTTACCTTCTACCCCCTCACTTTCCAAATTCTGATTGGATTGCTACCCTCTCTTCCTTTCTCCACGCTGGCAACGTATTGAGGTATGGGCCCTTAGTCTCTTAAGGACACCTTACCTTCTCAGCTGAATGTTGCAACTTCTTTGTAACTTTCTCCATGGGGGATATACCACTGGGATTGGGGACGGGCCATTAGGCCAGAGACAAACTCAATGGAACCTAATTCTCCCTCCACAACACCTCAGATGCTGGGCATCAAACAAGCCGGGGAGGGTGGAGATGACAGACACTGCCTACCCTTTTTGCCATCTTGTGGGGTCCCCATCATGCACCAAGTGGCATCCTTTTCTTAAGACAGAGAACTTCCCTGAGAGTCACATTCCTGGATGAAAAATTGCCCTCCATTGGCACGTGTCATCATAGAACAGGTGGTAGAAGGACGGTATGGCGCCAGGAGGAAGAGAGACCAGTGAAAAGGAGCACCCTTTTCTCTCTCTGCCCTGCTGCCAGAACTGCTTGTTTTCACATGACCCACCTTGGCAGTTACCCAGGATGACTGTGGCTCACTCCCATTTTACAGCAGAGAAAACTCAAAACTGTTGCTCCAGAGTCACATTTGGAGCTGTAGCAGGGCCATTCTTGGCCCCCTTGCCTTCTGGTTTGGACCTTAGATCCCAGGCTGTCCAGGAGAGCCAGCTGGTTTACTACAATGGAGTCTTCTGGTCTGCCCTGCTGGGGCTGGAAGAGGATCAGCCACAGCCTTGTGGGCGGGTGGTACAGGATGATGTGACAGCTTAAGGATAATGTCCAAGCCATAGTTACACCCTATCACTGGGAAGCGTCAAGTGTGCTGGTAAAAGCAGGAGCAGGAACACCAATCAGTACCCAAGTTATAAAAAATAAAAAATAAAATCCCTCTTTGAGGCCCACGAAGCCCTTGCTCATATGGGACTCACCAAGTTTAAGAGTTGTGTGCGTAAGGAATGGAACTCCCTGACAGGGTAAAGGCAAACGGAAACTTACTTCAGACTTTCTCTACCCTGACATAAACGTTCTGAGGAGCCACAGGGTGAGAGGCTTGGCTGGGATGAGGGACATTCAGAGGGGTTTTGGGAGTGTTAGACAAACTGGACATGTGCACTACATACAGAGACACAAGGCACAGAGACACCGGATCTGGAGGGGAGACAAATGGTCACGCAATTGGCATGCTGACAGTCTGAGTCTGACATGCCCCAGCAGAAGCAGCACAAGGGAACAGCACTGACCTTTGGGAGAGTGACAGGATGAGGGCAGAGTGGCCCTGCTGGTTGGTGCTTGGGTAGTGCTGGTGCTGAGAAGACGAAGGGGATGCTGACTGAGGTGGAGGTGTGTTTTTGTGGAGCATGACTGGGGGCTCCTGCAGTCAGTGCCTCAGTTTCTCCCTTTGGGTCAAGGTCTCGAGCTTCACAGGTAAAGTTTGGACTAGCGGCCCTGGAAGATCACCTGTCTGATAGCTTGCTCTCTGAGGGGTGTGTGAGAGAGGGAGGGAGAGTGCAAGCAGAGCGTGCCTGAGCATGGGGGGAATTGGGCCATGCCCCAGGACTTGAGCCATCTCTGGCACAAAAGGAGTTAATGGCAGGGACCGCGCCCCCCCCACCCCGTGTCCGGGCACGCGCAGCGCGCCCCCTCGGTGCGCGGGCATAGCAGCCAGGCTGCCGGAGAGCTGATCTCGGGGATTCGGGTGCGGAGCCCTTGGCCTGGAGGCGATATGGGTGGTCCGTGGCCCGGTTCAGTCGCTTGCAGCAGCCCGGGGAACAGGTGAGGCTGCCTGTCCTGGTCTCTCATCCTCCAGCCGCCCATACCTTGCCCCCATCCTATCCCCTCCCAATCCCAGGCTCCTCCACTCCCCGGCCAGGGGCCCCCATCCCTTTCAACCCCATGTTCTCCATCGGCACCCCTGACCCCCCCACTCCTCCCCCGCTTCTCTTCTCTCCTCCACCTCCTCCCTAAATCCCGCATCCTTATCATCCTCCCACCCCTGGTCCCTCTATTTCCACAGCCCAGCCCGCATGCTCATCAAAATACCCCTAGTGAGGGCCCCCAGCCCCATTCCTGTATTGCACATTGCCAGGCCCCCCTCCCCTGCAGTGCAGCCCCATCCCCCTTCCATCATAGCATCTTAAAGCCAGGCTCCCTCCCCCACTCTCTGCAGCCCCCCCACCCAATGGAGGCCTTTATCCTATCCTCCCCCATTCCAATGCAACTCCATCCCCCAATACCATTCCGAACCCGTAGTCCCCAATACTGCAATTCTCAATACTGGTCCATTCCTGCACAATGCCCCTCGCCCAATACCGCTCCAGGCCAAAAAGTACCCCCAGATGCCATTCTCCCCGGCATTGCTGCCACCCCTGTCTTCTCCCAAATTGCAAGTTGGACCAGGATAGAGATTGTTGGCCTTGGGGATTCACAGTGGGTCCTAGCGTACAGAGGGCGTTTGGGGGTCGGTCTGTTTGTCTAGGTGTTCACAGGGGAGGGGCTGCAGGGAATTGACTCAAAGGGGAATTTGGCATTTGGCGCTGAATGGTTGCTAGAGAGGGAGGCATCCCGAAAGGGTTAATGGAATTTGTGGGGTGGGGGAGGCACCGAGGGGGTTAAGGGGGGGGTGCTGGCGGGGAAGCCGTGTGAATGAGCGGTCTGTGCCCCAGTGTTGCCATGGAGACGGTGAATGGGGGGATTGTGTGAACTCAGCTGCGGACTATCCCCCCCCATACACACACCCACCCACTCCCTCCTGCCCCACCTCCCTACTCCTACCCCTTCCTTCCCTTCCCCCCCCACCCGGGTGCATCCTAGGCAGGGTCCGAGATCTTCCCCCCCATACTTTGCTCCCCATTTTCCAATTTCCTCTGACCCCCATTCCTTTAGCCACTTTACCCGCCCTCCCTCTTCTTCTTTTTTTTTCTCTCTCTCTCTCTCTCTCTCTCTCTCACACACACACACACACACACACACACATACACACACGCACACGCACACGCACACGCACATTCTCATTCCTCTCTCGTGGTGGCCGATTGCCGGGCGTTCCCAATCTCCCCCTCCCCCACCCCTTCAGCCAGTTCTTAAAGGAGCAGGCCTGCAGTCTTGGAAGGCGGGAGAAATGGGGGGAAACTAAATGTGCACGCAGCGTGCATGTGCGTGTGTGTCTGCGTGTGCCTGTGTGTATGTGTTGACTGTGTAACTGTGTCAGAAGGCCTGTGTGTCTGAGTGTGTTGCTATTTCTGTTTCTGTCTCCACCTATGTGTCACCATTAGGCTGCATGTGTCTCTGGATATTTACCTATGCGGGCGTGTGTGATTATATTTCAGTAAGTCTCTGTGTGTCTCTGAATGTATCACTCTGTGAGGCTCTGGCTGTGTGAGGCGCCCTGTCTCCGAATGTGGGACTATATGAGGGGATCTCTGTGGGTTTGGAATGTATGTCACTGTGAGTGAATATCACAGTGTCTGTGATCCTGGCTTGGTCTCTCTCATGCCCTCTTTGAGTCTTTGTGAGTTTATTTCTATGAGTCTCTGAGTGTAAGTCCCCTACACTGTGTTGTTTATTTTACACTGGACGGGCATCAACAATGCCTAGGGTGCCGGGCAGAATGATTTCCACCTCAATTCTGGCATTGCATTTGGTGTTGAATTAAGAGAGAGCCAGCAGAAAGGACCAAGGCTTAAGGATTCGGGAGCAGTGAGGGCTGAGGAGCAATGTACAGGAGGGGCTCAGGAGGGTCTGGGGACTCTGGTGAATGGCTGTCCTGCCCCCTGCCCTGCCTGAGAGTGAGGAGGTCTCTCTGTGATTTCCTCTGCCCATCTGCTGCTTTCCCTTCTTATGCCTAGTGTCCCAGAGTGAGGTTAACGATCCTACCCACTCCTGATGTGGAGGACCCTGTGTGGGATTGCCGGGTCCTTGGGGCTGGACAGCTCAGTGTTCATGCAGCATACCCGGGGACCCAGGCTCCATTTCTAGTTCTTCCCACCCCCTGGCTACCATGTTACTCTGGTTCCAGGCGACCCCGATGAACTCCATTGGCTGTGGGGTTGAAGTTGGGGACTTTGAACTTGCAGTGGCAACTGTCACTCTGCCAATCCCCTTGGATTTTCCAACCATGGCCAGGCACATAAAACGCTTCTGACTGGTGGTGGATCATCTGTGAGTGGCTGGAGCCCTGGGCATGTGAAAGCTCTCCTGATGGTAGGAGAATAGCCCAAGCCCATGAGGGCCCCCAGAGACCAACTCTGTACCCCTCCCAGACCATCACGGATGACGCATACTTCCCTCTTTCCACAGGCCTGTCTGGCCCTGAGGGAGTCCCCTTTCTGAAGCTGTGGTGCTTGGACGACCTGCTCTCTACGTTGCTGGGCACCTGTAGGTGTCCCTCGAGAGCTCAGTTTTGAGGTTCAAGTCAGTGTGGCCATGAAGGGGCTGCCTATTGGGCTGATGCTGTGACCCTGGAGTCTGCCTCTCCTGCCAGTCCCCCTGCCTGGAACATGTGGCTGCGGCTTGGCCCGCCGTCGCTGTCCCTGAGCCCCAAGCCCACAGTTGGCCGGAGCCTGTGCCTCACGCTGTGGTTCCTCAGTTTGGTGCTGAGGGCCAGTACCCAGGCTCCAGCACCCACAGTCAATACTCACTTTGGGAAGCTAAGGGGTGCCCGGGTACCATTGCCCAGTGAGATCCTGGGACCTGTGGATCAATACCTGGGGGTGCCCTATGCAGCTCCCCCAATCGGCGAGAAACGTTTCCTGCCCCCTGAACCACCCCCATCCTGGTCGGGCATCCGGAACGCCACACACTTTCCCCCAGTGTGCCCCCAGAACATCCACACAGCTGTGCCCGAAGTCATGCTGCCAGTCTGGTTCACTGCCAACTTGGATATCGTGGCTACTTACATCCAGGAGCCCAACGAAGACTGCCTCTACCTGAATGTCTATGTGCCCACGGAGGATGGTGAGTGCTGCGGCCAGGCACTGTGCCCTCCCTGCCTCCCGCCTGCCCTGTTGTGTTTGTGGCTTGCATGTGGTTGTGTGCCCTGCAGCATGCGTCTGTCTGTCTGTGAAAATGCTTCTAACCATCACTCTGCTCGGCCTCTCCCTTCCCCCTCCCTGTTCTTCACTCTCCCAGCATTGTCCAAGCTCCCATGTGTGAGTGACACTGTTGCCAGGAGGGGCCTGGCCAGGCCTGAGAGCTTTGACAGGTCTAGGTCCAGTACTGGATGGGGGTTCCCTGGGGGAGTATGGGTCACTGCTGGCAGCTGCCCGCGGGAGGATGCTGGCTGCACCAGGCCCCCCTGTTGCCATTCCACCTGCTTCAAGAGGTGGTAGGTGTGTGTGGCCAAGGGAGCTGGGTATGTGTGGGGGGCGGGGGGCAAGCCTGGTGGGCAATGCTTAGGTGCCTCCTCTTTCACTAGCTGATGCCTCCTCCCGCGGGGGTCACACTAAGGTAAGTGACAGAAACAAGGAGATGGTGGGACAGGCTCTCTGCCATGTGCCGCCTGCAGAGCAGCTCAGCTCTTGGGGCTTGGGGGGTGGGGGGGTGCATGCCCCTGGGCAGAGGCCTCCTGTTATTTTTTAGTTTTTTATTCATTTTACAGTAAAGCGGATTTCCAAGGAATGCGCCCGAAAGCCCAACAAGAAAATTTGTAGGAAAGGAGGTAGGTAGCGAGCCGGCGGGGAGGGAGAGAGAGAGAGAGGGAGGGCTGCCTGCCCACCTGCCCTTTCCCCTGAGGACCCAGCCTTCCTTCAAGTAGCCCAGGCTCAGGGGGCGGTGAGCAGGCATAAGCTCCACCTCATCCCAGGGCCCTGGCTGCTTTTCAGGGAGGATCTGGTGGCCTAAGGCAGGTTCAGAGCAGAAGGAGCAACCCCATTTCTTCCAATCTTCCCAGCCCCAAATTCCACCCTAAAGTGTGTGCCAAAGATGGAGCCAGTGGCTCTCTCAGTGACAGCTCAGGAGAGACTGTAGGCAGCCAAGATGGAGCCAGAGGCTCCGCCCTTTTTCCAGTGAGTGGAGCCACAAGACTACCCCTTCCGTGCTTTTTCCGCTCCCACCCCCGGGTTGAAAGTCTAGACTCAACTCTCAACTCTTCCACCCTCAAGTTCAGACCAAACATGCGTACACAGGTTTAGTAACTCCTGCCACACACACATGACCCCCGCACCGCGCCCTCCCGCCCCACCGCCTCTGGCCGCAGCATAGCTGAGAGCCCTGGGCTGCTCTGGTGGCAGAACTCGGGGATCTCTGAGAGCTACGGACTCTAGAGGAGGCACGGGATCCTAAATTTTAAATTTATCCTTTTGCTGAGAGGAATTTATCCCCCTGTACAATAATTCTTCCTGTTCGATTACTACTTTATGTTTTCTGCAAAGCGTTGTCATATATACCTCATAAAATCCTCCCCATGTCTCGGGAAGCGTATAAGGCAGGAATCAGTATCCCAATTTTACAGATGAGGAAACAGGCCCAGGGGAGTGACTTGCTGCTGCTCAAAGCCCGGTCACTGGTCTGTGGCAGAGCTGGGACCAAAACCTGGGTCTCTTGACCCTGAGGGCATGTTCTTTCCACTGTAGCACTCAGAAGCAACTCCCATCTGGTCATTCCCACCTCCCCAACTCTGAAAAGAATGGTGAGATGTGGATGGGGTGGGCCGAACTGGAAACAGTAACAGCTTAAGGCACAGGTGGAAACTCACAACTTGATCCCTACAACTCTTTGGCGTGCTTGGAGTTTGTTTTCCTTTGATGTCCTAGGGCAGGGTTTCTCCCAGTGGCATTGTCAGGATGCCTAGGACAGGGTACTCCCTACCGAATAAGGATCTCTGGGGGCAGAGCCCGGGAATCTACACGTCAAACGTGAGTCCTGAATGCTGTTGATGCACACTGAAGCACGGAGTGAGACCCGCTGCTCTAGGGACAGTGTTCCCCCGCAGCCCTGCACCCAGCCCAGGACCTCACACGCCGCAGCCCATCGCTGTTTCTCGCACGGGCGCAGAAGCATTGTGGTGCTGCAGAGAGAGAGCAGGTCTGGGAACACAAAGCCTGCCTGAGTCCCAGCTGTGCTGCCAGCTCACAGCGAGACCTTAGGCAGCATTTACCTTTACGAACCTCTGTTTCCACATCTGAAGGTGGCAGGGGACAGTTCTGGCCTTAACATTTCATTAGCCTATAAACGAATTCCGATAGAAGATCTCTTTTTTTTTTTTTTTTGAGACAGACTCTCACTGTGTTGCCCAGACTAGAGTGCCGTGGCGTCAGCCTAGCTCACAGCAACCTCAAACTCCTGGGCTCAAGCGATCCTCCTGCCTCAGCCTCCCGAGTAGCTGGGACTACAGGCATGCGCCACCATGCCTGGCTAATTTTTTCTATATATTTTTAGTTGTCCAATTAATTTCTTTCTATTTTTAGTAGAGATGGGAGTCTCGCTCTTGCTCAGGCTGGTCTCGAACTCCTGACCTTGAGTGATCCACCCGCCTCGGCCTCCCAGAGTGCTAGGATCACAGGCGTGAGCCACCGCGCCCAGCCTAGAAGGTCTCTTAAACCTGCTCCTATGAGTTCCTTGGTGGGGCGAGGAGAGGCGAGGGCACTAATATTAACTATTTCTTAGGAAGACTGACCTCTCTAGGGCTCCAGTATGGCGAGCCTAGGGCGGTTCAGTCCAGCCCCGAGAGTTTGGCCAGAAAGCTGACTGGAAGCACCCACTCAACCACACACATGGAACCATCAGGATTGTCGACTGTGGGCAAGTCCATGCGCTAGGTGCTGTTGCAATGTGGAGGGATGTGAGGTAGAGGAAAAATCTAGAAATGATGACAGGGCCTAATCACTGCTCTGAGGAAGCTCCTGGCCTGGTATTAAAACTCAGCTGGTTTCCCTAAGCCCCACAGGCCAGCCTGGGAAGGGAGTTCCAGACTGTGGGGGAGGGCATTTGGTCATTTAGCTGTTCAAATGAGTTCCCTATCCAGGGCCTGTTGGCCATTTGGCACAGTTACAAACCCTGCCTCTTGGGGGAGAGCCATACCCAGAGGTCGTTAGGGTTGCTGTGCGCACAGGTCAGGGAGGCAGGCCTGGCTGGGCTCCTGCAGCAGCAGCATCTGGGCATGGTGGTCAGTGGCCGCTGGTCGGTGGTCGAGCTGGCCTGGGTGAGAGGCATGGCCACAGGGAGTTGCTCAGCAAGTGCCCAGCTGGAGGAGCCAAGCTATCTGTGTGAAGGAGGCTGGAACAATGCAGCAACCCAGGGACACTCTCAGAGGCCCCAGAAGGGACAAATCTCTTAAGTCAGGGGTGATGGGAAGTGACGGGTTTCCTGGGGAAAACGTGCCCCATTCTCTACCCCACCCCCCGTCCAGTTGAAGGGAATTCACGTCTGGGGATGAGTAATTCTTTTCAGTTTGGCGGGCTGTCCGCTGTGTGGGTGATGATGCCCATGTCTCCTAGGGTTCCTGAGGACAGTACTGGCGGATGTGGAACTAACATGGTAGGGCGATAGACCCAGCAGAAGTTCGGGGAGTTGGAGGCGGTTTCTGCCCTGGGGCTGGGCTCTTGCACTAGTAGAAAAGCCATTTTGTAGTTTGAGAGCAGTTCCTGTTTTGATTAATAACTGTAAGAAAATCCAGTCAACAGAGTCCAGACCAGCTGAGAAAAAGGGCTCTTTGCTACCTCCAGGCTGGGGGTATCTGGTGTCATAGATGCAAGAGGGTCAATCGTGGGGCACCGGCATCCAGGAAGTAGGTCCTCTCTCTCCACAGCCATCGTCAAGATGCACTTCTAGCCTCCTTCGAACAGGAAGGAGAATTGGTGCCAGCTTACCCCTAGACCCTAAATGTCTCTCTTCTCCCCCTCTAGTCTCTTCTTTTTCTCCTCTCCTTCCTTCTCCTCCTCTCCCCCCTCCATGCTCCACCACTTTTCTCATCTAGTTCGTCCCTTCCCTTTCCTTTCCCTCACCCCAGAAAAGTGGCATGGTGCAGTGGAAAGACCATGGGCTTTAGAGTCAAGCAGACCTGGGTTTGGATCTCACCTCTAGCACTTCCTAGCTGTGTGATCTTAAGCAAGTCACTTTACCTCTCTGAACCTCAGTTTCCCCATCAGTGAAACAGGAATAAGGATAGTACCTACCACATTGGGGTGTAAGGGTCAGACAATATGGCAGAAGTAGAGTGTCTGGCACATGGTAAATATTCAGTACATGATTGGAGCTATTACCATTATTCCTCTCTTTGTTTCTCTTCTCTTCTCTTCTCTTCTCTTCTCTTCTCTTCTCTTCTCTTCTCTTCTCCTCCCTCTCTCTCCCTTTGTCTCTCTCTCTCTCTCATCATCATCCTCTTCTCCTTTTCCCCTCTCTTCTTTCCCTCCCTCCCTCTCTGGCTCTCTCTACATCTCAGAGCAATGCTTGCTGCTCTCAAGACTGGTTCCTGTGGGCAGGAACCCCATTTGCCATTAACCCAGAGCAGGGGGCTCCAACGAGGAAGACCAGAGGGAAAGCTTCATCTCCCATTTTCTCCTGTGGGAATTAGGGTCAGCTGAGGCCCAGCTCGAGCCAGCCCACTGGGCCCCAGTTGCTCAGGCCTGAGGTCCCTGGTATGCATCTCTGCCCTAAATACCTCATATTGACAACATCCACACACGCTGGCAGTGTCACCCTGCACCCTCAGTACCTGCCTCTGCTACCCAGCTCGACCTGCCTGTGTACACACGCGCAGCCCCTTCCACCCAGAATGCATCTTTCCCCTGAGCGGGTCTCTGGCTCTGTGCCCTGGCCCACCTGCTGCTACCTCCTTCCTAACTGGAAAGGTAGTTGGGGACAGGGAGGCGGGGCAGGGAGGGGCAGGGAGGCCAGCACAGCAGGGGCCTGCCACACCATCATCCTGACGAAGGTCTGGGCCTCAGCCCACCCATTCCCTCAGTTCTTGCCATCCCTCCTGCCTGTCCTGGGCCCAGGCCCAGAGCTGGCTTGCTGGGCCACACTGCAGTCATGCTGTTTTTGAATTCTCTCTCTGTTTTGTTCTCTGTTCTGTGCTGTTGTGTCTCCCCGTGTCTGGTCCCCAGGATCCGGCGCTAAGAAACAGGGCGAGGACTTAGCGGATAATGACGGGGATGAAGATGAAGGTATTTGGGGGCTGCAGGGCGTGGCGGCTGGTGCATGGCACAGAGCCCCTCCCCTTCTCGACGGGGAGAAGCCCCGTCTGTCTGTCTGTCCGTCCGTTGGTGTGTTTCTGTTCCTGTACAAGGCCGTTGGGCTGTTCATCTGTCTTCGGCCTCGTTGGCCACTGGGAGTTCTGGGGTGATGGACGCGGCTGGCAGGAGCAGGGGACCACAAGCAGAGCCATGGGGGGGCATCCCCCTTGCCCCAGTCCCCCGCCCCTCCCCCATCTTCTATGCTTCATGGGCACCTGCCCCTACTGAGCAGCAGGGAGAACGGAGAGAAAGCAGGGCCGGGGAGGGTGGGGACAGGCACGAAGCAAACGGGTTGGTGAGGAAATACGTGTTTCGTTAAGGAGACCCCCGTGTCTAGCAGGGAGTGTGGTTTCTGGGAGAGGGGCCCAGCACGATGGTGAACTGAGGAGTAAGACAGTGACAACCAAAGGTGCCAGGGAATAGCAGCACCTAGAACCTCCCTAGCCTTCTCCCAGAAAGAGAGATGGTCTCAGGGCCAGGGGCTGCAGGAGGTTCAGGACAGAGCCAGAAAGACTAGGCTAAAACGCCAGGCTGAACTAGGACACCACAGCCGTCAGTAGATGGCACAAGATCCTTGGGTGATAATCAGACCAGCCTCCCTCCTTGGGGAAACGGGTTCTGTTTGCTCCTCAGCAGAGAGCGTTCCCTTCTACCTCCGTGCCCAGGCCCTGCCCCTGCAGCCCTGGAGGGGCCGGACAGATCAGGGGGGCCCACTGGCGATGGGTAGGGCTGTGCTGGTGTGGCAGAGAGTGTTGGTCCAGCTCGCAGACCGACTGGCAGCAGGCAGAGGTGATCAGGCCTAGAGCCTTCTCTTCACTGCCCCAGCCCCCACACCGTGCTGCCTGGGCTTGGGAGCAGCCGCTTGGCGGTCCCTTGTCCAACGGCTTCTGGGGAGGCTCCATCCACATCTTTTTTTTTTTTTTTTTTGAGACAGAGTCTCACTGTGTTGCCCGGGCTAGAGTGCCGTGGCATCAGCCTAGCTCACAGCAACCTCAAACTCCTGGGCTCAAGCGATCCTCCTGCCTCAGCCTCCGGAGTAGCTGGGACTACAGGCATGCGCCACCATGCCCGGCTAGTTGTTTTTTTTTTGTATATATTTTTAGTTGTCCAATTAATTTCTTTCTCTTTTTAGTAGAGACGGGGGGTCACTCTTGCTCAGGCTGGTTTCAAACTCCTGAGCTCAAACAATCCTCCCGCCTCGGCCTCCCAGAGAGCTAGGATCACAGGCGTGAGCCACCGCGCCCAGCCTCCATCCACATCTTAACGCTGACTGGGAGCAGGCTGTCTCGTTCTTAGTCTTGCCCCATCCCCAGTGTTTTCGATTAAGTCTGCCCAGGGAGAGTGGGGGAATGGGCACATGGCTGAGAAACCATGTCAGTAAGGTCCCCCCATCTCTGCCATTCACCCCCCTTTCCTCACATCCTTCCTTGTTCTCTCCCTGTGCTGTCCCTTATTCCCACACCTCTTGTCTCTGTCTGCACTGGGGGGCCAGCTGCTGCCAATGGCCATTTTTCCATGTAACTGGTCTAGGGGGTTTCAGGGCTCCCCAGCCCCTGCTCTCTAAAGCCATATCAGGTCCCAGGACTCCTGGGTGCCCAGGGCAGGGACTCTCCTGATGCAGCTGAGGGAACCATCCCTTCCTCTTCCTGCTGCCCCCTGCTCCCAGGGCCCAGCCGTGGCCCACCTAGGCCTAGCTATGTCAGGCATTCCTGGCTGCCTTCAGCTGGGAGGCGCTTGAGACCGGAGTCTTTAAAAACATCACTGAAGTCCAACTGTCTCTGGCAGATGCTTGAGCTCCAGGCTGAGCAGCTCCATGAGTCCTGCCCTCAGGGATGGCGGTGGTGTCCTGGCACCTGGGATAGCTTTGCCACCCGCACCCCCACCCAGGGCTGGCGGGGGTGGGGGAGGAAGGGCATCCTACCTAGCCTGCGTCTCACCCCTTCTCCTTGCAGACATCCGGGACAGTGGTGCTAAGCCTGTCATGGTCTACATCCACGGAGGCTCTTACATGGAAGGGACAGGCAACATGATTGATGGCAGCGTCCTCGCCAGTTATGGCAATGTCATCGTCATCACCCTCAACTATCGCGTTGGGGTGCTAGGTATGGTTCCCTGCCTGGTGCCTAGAAGGAAGGCTGGCTTCTCAAGGGGTGGGGGGAAGAATGCTAGGGAGTTAAAAAAAAAAAAAAAACAGGCAGCCTTGGTTCTCCAGCTGGTGCTAATGACCATGTCAAAATGCCATAGCCCCTACCCAAGTACTGGGAGCTTCCCTGTATCCCCAGGCCCTTTTCTGGAATGTTTAGATGGCACTGGAAATTCGATTCAAACTTCACACCTTCCCTTAGGTCCCAAGCCAGATCTCTGCTCCCAGACTTTTGCTTGGCTGAGTTTTATAGGGTCTGTTGATTTTCCAGTGTACTGTCTTCCTCTCTACGCACACCCCCCCGATCCCTAAACACCCCACACATACACAGATATTCCTTCTAGTCTACCGCATGTCTACACACCCACCCCCCACAACGCGCGCACACATCTAGCCCCGCGTCCGCATCTAAAGGCCCCCAACACATAAACGCATTGTCCCAGCACTCCATATACACTCCACACATCTAGCCTCCCCCGCGCACACAGCCACACAGCCACGCGCTCTACGCACTTCACGTCCACACCCCACAGATTTCTCTCACCTTCCATATACACACACATCCTCATATACTTCTCCCCACATCTCTGCAGCCACACCTACACCCGCATGCACTCACGCTTTCCTCTACCCCCATATTTACACCCCATGGGAAGACCTACACCCTGCACATCCACACCCAAACTCCACGCATACATGCCTTAAATGTACATAGATGTCCCTTCCACCAACTCCCCCACACGCCCCCACATCCCTCTATCCCCCGCATCCACTCCACACACCCACACACCACACACATACACACAGCTGTCCCTCACCTTCCTCACATACACACAAACCCATATTCCCCTTCCCCGTACGCATATACCCTTGCCTGTATGTCCACACCGTCCTGCACTGCACGTACGCGAATACCATGCACATCCCCATATCCCTGCTTCCATGTCTACACATATCCCATGTGCTACACCTATATATTCCCCCACGTATATGCATACCCGCAGACCCCCTGCACATATACCCACACACATACGCATACATGCGTGCATACACACATGCACATGCGCTTCCCACACATGCCTTGCATATATACACCCAGTACATACATGTGTACTTATCCCCTCACCTCACTCCACAAACATATACACATTTATGTACCTAGAGCCGCAGCTGTATCCATGCATGTGCACACACCTTTACCCACCCCCAACCACACTCTCGCACCCCCAACGCTTCCACACCCCATATACACACACACATTCCTTCTACTCTCTGTGCATGCATCGCCAGACACACATGCTCCCATGCACACACCCTCGTTCCCCAAACACCTGCTCATACACACTCGTACACCCTTCCCCCCACATACTCTGCTGTGTACATATTTATTTTGGTGATTTAGGCTGCCCCTCACCCCTGTACCTTCCTTGGTGACAACCAGGGCCTATCTATGGCCAAGGTCTTGGGGTTAACAAGTGCTGCAGAGAGGCTGACTAAGCGTACAGGGCCTTGCTCCCTTTCAGATGCTCTCCCAGACCCCATATCCCTGCAGTGGCATGAAGACGTCAACTTCTTGCCTGGAGAGTTTGTATGCTCAGAGTTCCAGTGGGGGTCTAGGCTCTTTGTCAGGTCTGTAGGCCTGCGTGCTAAACCAGAAGTTAGGCATGGCTTGCTCCCTTGCCAGTTGGGGGACAGGACCTTGTTTTAATTGCTCTCGACTATATTGCTTTGTCAGTTCCAATCCCGGAGGCCCTGGTGCTGCACTTCACTTCTGGGTGCGATCGCATGCACAAAATGGCAATCTCCCCTTGACTTATCATTAATACTATATGGGACAGGAAGACACCTTTTTTGGGTTCAGACTGGAAAAATGATATTCCATGAAAAAAGCAGAGTCTGTGGCACCTGGGATACTCGGTATGGAACACATAGGACATCACCCCTGGTCTCTCCATGGTCTGGTGGGCTCTGGATTTCCTGGTTCTGCCCCTGCTCCGTTGTCCTGCATTGCCTCAGACACCATGGCAAGGCTCTCACTAGGTTCTGTCCTGAATCGCGTGGTCCCATGCAGGTGGCTGTAAGCCCACGCACTAGGGCTGCACGGTTCCTAAAGGGGAATGAACGCGCAAACGTGACCACGCACAGATATACAGGCACACATACACAGTAGTTGAAGGCCAATAGTAATTTTGCTATTTTCTTTTCTTAGAGTGACAGAAAAAATTCAATTCGGCTGCTTTGAAAAAATTATATACACAAAGTTCCATTCTATAAGGTTTATTGGAAAGTACAGAGAATACTAAGAATATGTTCCATATTATCAGACCAGCTAGGAACAGAGAAAAAGAGAGAGCGGAGGAAAGGGGAAGAGAGAGGTGAAAGTAAAGAAGAGAAGAAAAAGACTGGAGAGAGAAAAGAGAACAAGAGAGACACAGGGAAAGGAGGCAGAGAGGAGCGAGAAGGAGAGACTTAGCATCTGAGAGACTCAGGGTCTCACGTGGGATGCGAAGTCTCCGCAATGTCAGTGGGGAGCTGTGGGCTGCACAGAAGGCCGTGGCTGGTGAGCGCTCCGTATATTATCCTGATTCACTAATTGCCTCACAGTCCTTCAGCTGCTCTAATCCTTAAGCTTCCAGATCAGAAATTCTTAACCTTTTGGGGGGTCTTGGGCCCTTTTGAGATTCTGATGAAAGTTATGGACTGTCCCCCAAAACAATGCACACACATACATACGCACAAACTTATAAAAACAATTTGACAGATCCCCCCGAAGCTCCTCTGTGAAACTCAGGTTAAGAACCCCCCCAACTTTACAACCTCCTCTCGTTTGAATAACCAGAACAGCACATCTAGGGGACAGAAATATTATTCTTTGGGCGTAAGCAGTTGATGACCAAAATAATATTACCCAAAACTCAGAAGGAATCCTAAACTGAGATTTGGTCAGAAGTTCCCCACCACTTCCTGTGTGCCCTTCAGTTCCTGTTCTGGAACACAAACGTAATCAATAAGCCACTGATTGGATTCTGGGCACATACAAGATGTTTTTGTCTCTTGGCACCAGATGTAGAACATGGGTTTGTCCCTCACACTTGGGGATTTTGATGTGTAGTGGAGGCTTTGTTGTTTTGTTTCCCAAAGCGTCTCAGAACAGGTGGCCAGCTCTGGACCCCAGTTACATGCGCTCATTCACCCTCCCTCCCATCGGCTTCTCCTGAGCACTGAGCCCAGACAGACGGTTCACTCTAAGGTGCTTCCCCGGACATCTTGGGTGATTCACGGATGTTAAGAATGTCACAGGCTAATCCATGGAGCTCCTCGAAGGCAGAGGGGTAGCTATTGTTTGAGGGCCCCACTGGGCTTGGGGCCAACAAAAGAAAGGGACTCCGGTAGGATATGGAACGTGGATATCCCTGAGGCTGAGGAAGTAGGGACTTGTCAAGTTTTATTCTGGGTTCCAGAATTTAATCCTACATCCTTGCTCACGTACCCTCCAGGCAAACTGAAAACCTGGTAAACATCAAGCCTTGAGTGACACAAATATCTGGTTTTGTTACAGTCTGCCAGATCCCCCCATCTTCTGTTGACAAGCAGTTTACCGTGTACTGCACTAGGAACTTGGGCCCAGGGAGACTGGCTCAGATTTATTCTGGCAGTTTATGGAATTTGGTGTTTCAGCCTTCATTCTCACATGGTTTCTGTGGATGGCTGAGTTACTGGGGGACTAGGAGGGAGTGATTGCTCTTCCAGACTGCCAGATTTTGTGTGCTCATGGCTGATCAGGTTTGCTGTATCATCTACCTGAGCCTGTCGGATATAGCACTTCAAGCAGGATTCTTATAGTAGGGACTGTTGACATGGCATCATCCACATGCTTCAGGGCCCCTTATCTGGAGGCTCACGGGACCTGAGGGAGCCGAGAGTGATGGTCAAGTCCTTCAGCCCTTTCAACTAGCCCTTTCAGGCCTTTGTTCCTAACTGAGGAGATCGGTACATGTCGGAGAAATCTACTATAACCAAATGCAGGCTTTTCCTGCTGATTGGGAGAGACATATTTGACACATTTCACTAAATGATGCCTTGCCAAAGGCTGACACCGAGTCTGCTATTGCCTAAATGAGAGAAAAGGAAAAGAGAATACGGGGGAAGGAGAGGACAGAGGGAGGACTAAGGAAAGCACATAGTGATTTTTGCCAGAGGGTCTCAAGGCTTGGGAAGCTTCAATTTCTGAATGGGCCAGGCAAAGGAGAAGCTGGTTTCCTTGTCAGGAAGAACAAGGGCTACTCCGTTCATCCACATTCAGGATTTCTCTAATTCCTTCTCATTTCCTCTTCTGGAACCCGGGGCTAAAGAGGACTTGTGACTAGGTTCTTGGAGGGGTAACTAAGTACTTTCCATACTTAATTGTACCAAAGGTAAATAATAACACACTTGAAGAGGGTGAGACGAGCTCTTTTGCAGAAGCCAGGTACAGAAGGACCTGAGAAAGACAGTGATGAGGAATTGTGCCTGCTTGAGTCTATTCGAATTCAGCTTCTGCCCATGGGCTGTGAGGACCACCAGAGAGCTCTCCGTGAGCTGTGGGAGACTCCTCAAACATGGCCTTGCGCAAAGTTGATTCCAGGTGCTGTGAATGAGCTTTTAACTGTGAAGTTAAAAAATACTGATCCAAGTGTGGGTTTCCATGTGTAGGAGCTCCACAGTTATGCACCTGGAAAGACCCCTTCCAAAAGCCCATAGCAGAAGATAGAGCCTTCGAAGGAACCTAAGGATCCAGGGAAGAGAGATGAAAGGAAGAGTCTAAAATGGAAGCGGTGGTGGGGGGAGGAATATAGGACATCTTTGTGGGATAGCCAGCAGGTGGGCGGGAAGGTAGTCTCCATGGCAACAAGTCTCCACAGCAGCAAATCCCAGCAGGTGGGCGGGAAGGTAGTCTCCATGGTGACACGTCTCCTCAGCAGCAAATCCCAGTGAGGGGGTAGGGCGGGAAGACCTGTTTCTGTGGTAACCCACTGCACTGACTTCCCCATTTCTCCAGCAGATGAAAAAGATGGTCTAACCCAGTGATTTCTCACCTTTAGCAGGCATCAGCATCACCTGGGGAGCTTGTTAAAAAGCACAGATTACTGGGCCCCACCCCCAGAGTTTCCAATTCATTAGGTCTTGGAGGAAGGGAAATGCAGACTTGCGCGGAGAATGAGGGCTAGGGAGCCATCCGAGGCCCTGGGAAGAAGTGGAGGTGGACTCTTTTGTACAGGAAGGGCAAGGAGAGCTTCGGGATGTTTGCCTCTCGGATTCTTCACTTCCTTTAGAGGGAGAAGGAAGAGGAAAGAGAAGGAACTGTAGATCTGCAATGTGCTGAGCATGTTATAGATGCTTATGTTCATTTTATCCTTGTGACGACACTATGAGGTATTTTTATCTCCATTTTGCAAAGAGGAAACTGTGGCCCAGAGATTTTAAATAACTTGCTCAAGGCTCCATGGCTAGGATGTGACAGAGCCAGGATTCAAACCAAGAACTATCTGACTCCAGGGTCCCTGTCCTTTCCACTATATTTTGCCAGGTGTTAGGGTAATGTCCCCAGATAGGACATCGGGGCAGAGGATGCTGATCAGGGCAGTCTCCCACCTGGAGGCATCCACTTTCAGATGGTCTGCAGGCCCCTCCTTCCAAACGGGATAGGGGGTGGGAGGCAGGGAGCCTCTCCTTCCGACATTGATGCTGGACCTTGCAGAAAGGAGCAGTGGTTTATGATAGCTAGGTGGAAAGAACTATGCTGCACGCTCATCCTCTGTGCTCGCCCCCACCAGCTCCTGCCTGCCATTATAACCCAAATCCTCCATCCCTCCGCCTTCACCATCCTCATGCCCTTTGTCAAATCCAGGTTTCCTGAGCACCGGAGATCAGGCCGCCAAGGGCAACTATGGGCTCCTTGACCAAATCCAGGCCCTCCGCTGGGTGAGCGAGAATATTGCCTTCTTCGGAGGAGATCCCCACCGTATTACCGTCTTTGGCTCGGGCATTGGCGCATCCTGTGTCAGCCTCCTCACATTGTCACACCACTCTGAGGGTGAGTAGCTCTGCCCACTCCGAGCCCCAGGCCTTCCAGACTTCACCCCAGGGGCACCCAAGGGAATGAGTCTGCCCTCTTCTACCAGCTTGGCATCCCTTTGGGGAGAAGCGGAAGGGAAATGTTTCTCTGGGGGAAGAAGTACTTCTCCTAATGTGAGAGAGGGAAGGGAGAGAATCCCATTTACATCCCGAGAAAGCAAGATTCTCCTTCTGACGTGGCAGTCTTGTTTGGGAGAGTGTCCCCTCTGAGGGGACAATAGTTCTTTTGGGACAGGGGAAATCTTTCAGTGTGAGATGTTCATGTTACTTCAGGGTAGAGACCTGGGATAGAAATTGGTTTCTAGGTGTAAGAAACACTCATTCTCTGCCTTTCTCTCTGAAGGACAGGTCTGTCAAGAGGGGAAATGTTCTTGAGGGGGAGGTGGGTTGAAGCAAGAAATCACTAACTTGTGACGTGGGCTTCTTCTGAGGGACGATGGTCTATGATCAGCCTCCCAGACTTCCTCCTGGGCTGTGCAAGCCACCTAGGGGAGACTCATTTTTTAGCCTCTCTCCTTGCAGTGGGTCCCTCTGTCAGTGACCGTTCCAAGGGGGCCGAGTAGGCCCTCTTTCTCTCAGCAGGAAATGTTCTCTCCACCTCTGGACTACAGGGGACATTCTATCTCTGACAGGCAAAACTGAGCTTCTCATGAAAAGGTCTCCCTGAAATAGGTGCCCTTCTCTGAAGTAAGGAAATATGTGAGAGAGGACACATTTTTTTTCATTGAAATCAACCCTATGAGTTAGTGATATTCTCATATGAAGACTTTCAGTCCCTCTTGGAAGAATGTCTGTCTCTCTGAGAGAGAAGAACCACCTCTGACCTAGAAATTCTGTCTCTGCCCCTCCAGGGACTAGCTTGGTGGGGGAAAGTGAGGTAGGATCTGCATCTCTAAAGAGAGGGCATGTTTCTACGTGACAGTAGTGGGAACAGGAATCCCCCTTTTTCTCCCCAAAGGAGGGTAAAATGTCTGGCTGTAAGGGTGCCTCTGTCTGAAAAGAAGTCTGGCACCTCGTCTGCCTGCGGACTCCTCCCCTGCTAGGAGAAGGCCTTTCCTGGAGTGCTACCCTGCGGTCTCACAGGGCCTGTGTCTCTGGAGGCCTGGCTGCTTTAAAGATTTGTTCTCTCTGTCTTTCTGTAATTGACTCATGGAGAATAATCTTTGGAAAAGCGAGGCTCTCTCAAGTACTAATCTATATTTCTCTCCTTCTCTTTCTGCCCATGCAAACTACCTTTCTCTTAGAGAAATGGAATTGTGTGTTTGGGGTCCCAATTCTCCCTTGGGAGTGTCAGAGCCAAAGAGAGAATAATGCCCTTTTTTCCTAGAGAGGGAAGAATCACCTTCTTTTTCAGTTTGGGGGACTGGCTCCTTCTCAGCTAGGGGAAAATCTGCATCAAAAGCGTCCGTAGAAGCTTCAGGAAAAAGAAAGTCTCTGTGGAGACTACAGACTGGGAGCGCAGGTTCCCTGAAGACTTTCAGACCCCAAGGCCTTTGCCCTCAGGATCCTTCCCCAAACTCCCAGAATGTGGGGCTCTCTCCTGCCTGCATTTCTCATCTCTCATGAAAAAGACCCCTTTGTGGTACAGGCGCCAGCTCCCTGGTGGTGCGCTGGCACAGAGCTGGGCCCAGCTGGGCAGGAAGCAAGAGGGGAAGACAACGAGAGATAAAGAGAGGAAGCATAAGGAGCCTGATGTCTAGGACTCAAGGGGTTAATTCTCCCTGGCATTTCCTTAACCCCTAAGTTACCAACCGTTGCACTGGGACAGGGAAGCAATGGAGGAACCAGGCAGGACACCAGTCAGGGAGGGGCCCAGCAGCCCTGCCTCTGGCCCTACTTTGTGCCCTGCCAAAAGCGTAGTTCCTCCTTCCCAGCCCATCCAAACCATGGGGCAGCTTCAGGGACAAAAAAGAATAAGGTGTTTTATGGCTGTGTGTGACACAACAAATCTGACCTGGTGCTGCCTGTCTTCTGCAGGACTTTTCCAGAGGGCCATCATCCAAAGTGGCTCTGCTCTGTCCAGCTGGGCTGTAAACTACCAACCAGTGAAGTACACCAGCCTTCTGGCAGACAAAGTGGGGTGTAATGTGCTAGACACCGTGGACATGGTGGACTGTCTTCGGCAAAAGAGTGCCAAGGAACTGGTAGAGCAGGACATCCAGCCAGCCCGCTACCATGTGGCCTTTGGCCCTGTGATTGATGGTGATGTCATCCCTGATGACCCTGAGATCCTGATGGAACAGGGAGAGTTCCTCAACTATGACATCATGCTAGGTGTCAACCAGGGTGAGGGTCTCAAGTTTGTGGAAGGGGTGGTGGACCCTGAGGATGGTGTCTCTGGCACTGACTTTGACTATTCTGTCTCTAACTTTGTGGACAATCTGTATGGCTATCCTGAGGGTAAGGACACCCTGCGGGAGACCATCAAGTTCATGTACACAGACTGGGCAGACCGTGACAACCCTGAGACCCGCCGTAAAACACTGGTGGCACTCTTCACTGACCACCAGTGGGTGGAGCCCTCAGTGGTGACAGCTGACCTGCACGCCCGCTATGGCTCACCTACCTACTTCTACGCCTTCTACCATCACTGCCAGAGCCTCATGAAGCCTGCTTGGTCAGATGCAGCTCATGGGGACGAAGTACCCTATGTTTTTGGGGTCCCTATGGTAGGCCCCACTGACCTTTTCCCCTGCAACTTCTCCAAGAATGATGTCATGCTCAGTGCTGTCGTCATGACCTATTGGACCAACTTTGCCAAGACTGGGTAAGGAGAAAATGGGGGCTTTTCTTCTTTGGGACCCCGGCATGCCCTCCCCTCTGCCCATCTGTCTAAACCTCTTCCACCATTTCCCTTCCTAAGATATTCCCAAAATCTTGCTTGGTAACTCCTTTACTCCTCTTCCTAACCGCCCTTTCTGGAATCTTTCCTGCCATTTTCCTTCCTTCAAAAATTTCGCTGAGGCTCAGAACTCGCTTAGCCTGAGGACTGGGCAGGCGTGAGAGTTACTGGTAGAAGTGTGGGATTCAAGGTTAGCTGGTCCATGGCCATGTGAAAGAGCCTTTTGGGGGGCTCTTGGCAAAACTGGGCAGCTGAAAAGATTGATAGATACTCAGTAGCATGTGAGAAGAAAAAGCCTGATCTTAGAGGATGAGCATAAGGAAGGATGAGATAGGAGTTCAAGCCCTGGGGAAAGGCGGGGGTGGACAGAGGGAGGTACCCTGAAAACGATGGAAATGGTGGGAAGTTTTGGAGTGGGGAAGAGTTTTAGGGGTGGCTGTGAGAGGAAGAATGCTGGGCCCTTTCCTCATCCAGGCAGCGTGGTGACCCCAGATTTCCATGTGGTATTTCAGGGATCCCAACAAGCCGGTCCCCCAGGACACCAAGTTCATTCACACCAAGGCCAACCGCTTTGAGGAAGTGGCCTGGTCCAAATACAATCCCCGAGACCAGCTCTACCTTCACATCGGGCTGAAACCAAGGGTCCGCGATCATTACCGGGCCACCAAGGTGGCCTTTTGGAAACACCTGGTGCCCCACCTATACAACCTGCATGACATGTTCCACTATACGTCCACGACCACCAAAGTGCCGCCCCCGGATACCACCCACAGCTCCCACATCACCCGCAGGCCCAACGGCAAGACCTGGAGCACCAAGCGGCCAGCCATCTCCCCTGCCTACAGCAACGAGAACGCCCAGGGGTCCTGGAACGGGGACCAGGATGCGGGGCCACTCCTGGTGGAGAACCCTCGCGACTACTCCACTGAATTAAGTGTCACTATCGCCGTGGGGGCCTCCCTCCTGTTCCTTAATGTTCTGGCCTTCGCTGCCCTCTACTACCGTAAGGACAAACGGCGCCAGGAGCCCCTGCGGCAGCCTAGCCCTCAGAGGGGAGCCGGGGCCCCTGAATTGGGAGCTGCTCCTGAGGAGGAGCTGGCAGCATTGCAGCTGGGCCCCACCCACCACGAGTGCGAGGCGGGTCCCCCCCATGACACACTGCGCCTCACCGCGCTGCCCGACTATACCCTGACCCTGCGGCGCTCCCCCGACGACATCCCACTCATGACCCCCAACACCATCACCATGATTCCCAACTCCTTGGTCGGGCTGCAGACACTGCACCCCTATAACACCTTTGCCGCGGGGTTCAACAGCACCGGGCTGCCCCACTCACACTCCACTACCCGGGTATAGCTCCCACCCAGAGCACAGCCTGTCTCCTGGCTCCCTCCCTCCCAGCCCCACGAACACACGCACACACAGACACGCACACACAGACACGCACAGACATATATGTATACGCACGCACCCACACCCTACAGCAGACCCACCTGCACACACAGAGATGTGGACGTGCACTCGCAGGTGCAGAAACACAAGTACGGAAGTCAACCTGAACAACCCTTCAAATGGGGACGCAGATGAGTCCTCGGTAAACCGAGGACCCGCGGAACAGCAGCTGAAGCCAGCTCCCTGAGCCTGACCACGGACACTCCTGGGGGCGCTGAAAGCAACAGCTGGACACCCCCTTGGTGCTCGCCTTCGGCCTCTCTTGGAACTGCACCACCGACCAACTCCAGACTCGGGAGCTTTAAAGAGCAGAGTAGCTCTTCCTCCCCCAGACTTGGTCTTTTTTCTGGGTCTTGTTTTTGTTGATTTTTTTTTTTTTAATTTTGGAACAAATGCTTTTCCGATCCGTGAGTGCCAAGAGGCAGCTCTGGAAACCCCAGTGCACACACAACCAGACCAAGGAACAGGACCCCCAGGAGAGAAACAGATTCGAGCAAGACTATGGGGTGGAAAGAGAAAGGGGTTAACGCTGGATGGGGCTGGAGAGCCACAGAGGAGAGATCTCGAGCTATCTCTGTGTCCCTGTGATGGCTGCAGAGCCTACAGGGTGACCTGCTTCCCCCAGAGGCCAGCAGCATTGGCCTGGCTAGACCAGGGGACCCTAGATTTGCTGAATGAGGTACCGTGGAGGCCATGTCGTTACTGGCCCCCGACTCCGCCCCGGTATGATCTGGGCCTCTGCCCTTGGGGAAATGCTATCAGATATTTGCCCCATTTTCTTTACAGTCTCTTTTGTGTCTGTCATTTCTCTTTCAAAAAGGCGGTGTTTTTTGTTGTTGTTGGCTTTTTTTTTTTAAAGAAAAGTTCTTAAAACACTAACGGAAACCCATGGAGTTTGTCCTTTGTAAAAATTTTAAACACAGTGTCTTGATATAAAAATAAAAAATCCAGTTAGCACTCCCAACCTGCCTCCCTCGCACAGGCCTCGCCCAACAGACCTCCGAGCAGGGTGCCTCTGCAGGCTGGGAATCAGCCAGGCGGCCTCCCTCTGCCTCCTCCCGTACCTTTAGGCTGCCACGAGTCTGGGCTGCACTCTGCTGGCCCCCTCCACGAAGGCCTCTCCAATCTTAATCAGGTTGCTGTCCCCAACCCCCTGCCCCCAACGCTCTGGGTTCCTGCAGCTGATGCCTCCTCTCAGCACCTTGGGCCTCCTAATGAAATGGCAAAAATAATACTTCCGCCTCTGCCAGCACTGCCGCCACCGCTGCTGCCACCTCCTCCTTTTCCTCCTCCTCCTCCTCCCCCCACCCTCCTCCACTGCCACCACCCTGCCCTCATCTTGGACTGGGGGCTGGGAGGAGGTTTGACCTCTACCATGGCTGAAATTGTTTCTTGTACTGAATCCAGTAAGGCATTAGACACGTGAGCTCCCTGGCCTTGGGTAACCGACAGAGCAGGGCCCTCTCCTTCCCCAGGGATACTTGTTTCCTGTTCTGGGAATTAGAATTGAAGTCATCATCGGGGGCCCTGGGAGTGATTTCTCTCCAGGATTATGATCAGTGGCTCCTTGTCAACCCTGGGGCATGGATTCAGTGAGGCCCACAGGGTTAGCATTATGGGATTTCAGATTTTATCAGTGATGTGAAGGACTGAACTGAGAGTCTGCTCCTCAAGTGTGAAGGTTGGGTGGCGGTGCTGATACCTCAGAACCTGGGAATAGAATTCTTCAAAGTGACCCTGACAAATTGAGGGAGATGAACCATCACAAGCAGGATGATGTTCAAAGGGGACGAACACAAGGTAGTATGTACAAAGACCAAAACCCAGGACTAATACACTAATATGGTACATGAAACAAGAGAAACGGGCAATGATTGAGTTGGTACATGTACAGTTTAAAAAAAAAACTGGGGAGAGGCTGTCAGGGTGGGTCACAAGTTGAATGAGTCCATAGTGTAGAGCTGGTTTTCTCCCTCCTTTGCTCCCTCCCTTCCTTCCTTTATTCTTTCCAAAACTAATACGGATACTAGCGTATAATAACAAAAATATACCACGGAGTTGCTGGGAAGTAATAACAGTGTGAGTTTTAGAGCTGGAAGTAACCTGAATCATTGAGTCCAATCCACTTATTTTGTAGTTAGGGAAATGGGCCGAGAAAAGCCCGTCACAGTTAGTGTTAGAAACAGACCTAGAATGCAGCCCAGTAATATATGACCCTTCCCATGGTCCTACTCAACTTGTTCTACTCTACCTGACATTGATTATGCCTTTCAAAGGGTGATGGGTCTATCCGTGGTCAACATATCTGTAGTATATGTGGAAAAGCTGGAGAGGATCTGGAGAAGAGCAAACACAATGTGCCAAAGGACTTGCTGGGGCATGTGTGTGTGTGTGTGTGTGTGTGTGTGTGTGTGTGTGTTTTCATTTTGAAAGGAGAAATCTGATGAGGGAATGTTCAACGGTGTGGAGCACCTACTATGTGACAAGCGTGCTCTGACCATCTTCAAAAATATAACTCCTAAATAAGGACAGAGCTGATGACTTGTTCTCCATTTCTTCTGAGAATGATAGAGGAGGAAATGAGATTAAGTGAAACACAAGGGAGAACTTTGCTATAGATAAGAGATGATCACGGGCACCTAGTGAGTCCTCAATAACAGTTGCCAAATTGAACAGATGGCTACTAAGGGAAGCATTGGTGTTTTTCATCTTCCTGAAAGCAGAGGGCTAGATTACATGACCTTTTGAGGTCAATTCAGAGTCTTTGTTCTTATTTTCCATCCTTTGGTTGCTTCATTTGAGATATTAACAGACTGGGCCTCCTTTCCTGGGGGGAGGGAGGATGTGTCTCCAAGTTAGGAGGCTCTCTCTTTGGGGAAGATTTAGACACTGCCTCTCCTTTAAACACTCAAGGCACCATAGCAAACCCAGTTTCAATCCTATTAGTGACCCATCAGTGAGAGATTACAATTGGTCTTCATACCTTTGAAAAATCTAGGTGGAGGAGGTGACCTTCAAGACAGGCAGGATTTCGATCTGATTGACAGCAATTCTGAGCTGTGTAGCTTGGGGTTCTCAGCTCTATTGCTGACTGCCAGCCCTGAGCCCAGCTAAAAAGTCCAGCTCCAGCTCCTTGTTTGAAGAGAAGCTGAGGATATGCTTGGATTTTATTTCACATTGCAAAAATCATTAGTGCCCGGATTGGGTCCAGTCCACATCCCTAGATTTATCCGGTTTCTATTTTGGTCCTTTAGGGAGCTGGACACAGCCATTATGGGATCTGAATTTGTGGTGTGTGTGAAGGGTCAGAGGTTGGTTACTGTGGAAATCTCCATAGGAAGTCTCATTGCTAGGACCACAGGCCTGGCCCTGTGTAGTTTACATACTATGAGGTATAAAAGACACCCACTTTGGGATGCATGCTGTCAGGAAGACAAAACTCAGCCATGATAAAATGAATGGCATCCATAATTTAGCAGCTGGCTTTAAGGGTATAGTAAAGGCTAAAGAGACTGGAGAAATTGTTAAGAAAGGCCATGGTGGGATTTGGGTGGGGAGAGTAGTAGGCATTCCAAATTGGGAGAAAACCCTCAGCCAGAGTGCGGAGATGAGGAGGTCTAGGCATGCTTGAGGAGCAGTGAGGGGACTGGCCTGATGCAAGTTAAACGGTGGCATCAGCTTGGCGAGACAAGTTGCGGAGGTCCTCATCACAGCACAAGAGTTGGGCTATTATTGGATGAGCGATGGGACACCCTGACCGAACTCATTTCCTAACGGTTTTATGGTGAGAAAACAAAACCTCCTCAGCTCCTCTTCTGCTCCTTCTCTTTTGCAAGGAAAAGGATTTTCGGAGTAGAAAGGACAAGGCGAACACCAGAGAGAAGCTCTTGAAGGCAGTCTGGTCTGAAAGAGCTTTAAGCTGGTCTCACTCCGTCTCACAGTCTGAGCCAATAACAGCCCAGGGCACTTCAAGGACTTGCAGCCCAAGTTGCAGGACAACTGGTGGTGGCTTCAAAACCCCGTGGAGAATGGAAGAGGTGCTCACGCAGCCTAGAGACGGACAATCACGGCCGCACCGTCTTACAGACGGGAAAAGGTGAACTCCACGCATTATAGATCAATTTGATATCGAGTGAGGGCAAGAGTCAAGGACAAATGACTAAAAGGATGGTTAGTGAGCACTTTAAAAAGGAAGCAAGGATCACTCAGCCCCTGCATGGATTCAGGAAAAGCAAATCATACCCCACTCAGCTCATTTCCTTTGACAGGGTGACCGGAAGGGTAGATGAGGTGAATGCTATACCCACCGTGTATCTGGAGCTCAATAAAACAGTCTCTCATACAAGTAGAAGTACCATTCGATCCAGCAATCCCATTACTGGGCATCTACCCAAAAGAGCAAATGATACTGTATAAGAAAGACACCTGCACCCGGATGTTTATAGCAGCACAATTCACAATTGCAAAGACGTGGAAATAACCCAAGTGCCCATCAATACATGAGTGGATTAATAAAATGTGGTATATGTATACCATGGAGCTCTACTCAGCCACAAAAAACAATGGTGATCTAGCACCTCTTTTATTCTCCTGGAAAGAGGTAGAACACATCCTACTAAGTGAAGTATCCCAAGAATGGAAAAACAAGCACCACATGTGCTCACCATCAAATTGCTATTAACTGATCAACACATAAGTGCACATATAAGAATAACATCTATTGGCCAGGCATGGTGGCTCACGCCTATAATCCTAGCACTCTGGGAGGCCGAGGCGGGCGGATTGTTAGAGCTCAGGAGTTCGAAACCAGCCTGAGCAAGAGCGAGACCCCGTCTCTACCAAAAATAGAAAGAAATTAATTGGACAGCTAAAAATATATAGGAAAAATTAGCCGGGCATGGTGG